GTGAAGCTGCTGAAGGCGCTGAAGGTGTCGCTGATCGTTGCATGGGGGACCTGGAGACGGGCTTGGTAGAGGTTTCGGATGTACTCGAGTTTTGCGGAACTGTGTAGTGTCAGCCATTGAAGCATGTATCAAGTAATAACGAATTGAGTACTACCTTGGGTCGGCCTCAAGATCCTTCATAAGAAGATCGCGGTATCTATCCCATATCAAATTGCTCTACAGAAACCATCAGCCCAGCTCCCAACACGGGCATCAAACAGAAAAGTAAAAACTCACATCCGAGATAACATGCATCGTAGCCTGAGCCCCCAGCTTATAAGTCTCCATGACCAACTCCATCGTAAAGAGCGACCTTATGACCTCCTCCGCCGGGCTCGCAAACCCGCTCCTCTTCCTCTTCCTTGCCTCCGAATACTGCACCTCCAAAAACTGCGCATACGTCCTCCACAGCGCCACGCTCGCATTCTCCTCCTCCACGGCCCTCGCGCACAGCTCCATCACAACCATGACCTCCTCCGCGCTCCTCGCAATCGACGACTCGTCCGCAATCCACTCCAGCCACATGGACTCCTTGAGCGGAAAGCGCTCCAGCATCTCCTGCCGGCCCTTGCGCAGATCCTCCAGGAACGGATACGGGCCGTCACTCCCGGCCTGTTGATGCGCGAGGAACCCGCGGTGCAGCAGCCCAATATACTCGACGTGGGACTCGTACTGGTACGGCCTATCGGTGATGAACTCGAGCAGCGCCGGGATCCGCTGGTAGTCGGCCTCCGACAGCGGCTCGACGGCGGCCACCGCCGTCGAGTTCTCGCCCTCGTCGTCTACTGCCATTAGCCCGTCGTCGTCTGGCCCGCTCTCGCGGTCGTCACCCTCCATCCGGACGTCCGTGGCGGCGGGGGGGTCCTCGTCCATTGCGGTGTTGGTGTCGGGGGATGGGATGTGGTGGTGGGGCGGCGCGGAGGAGGGGATGCGGGCGATGAAGTGGGCGACGCCCGTTCTTCTCGCGGGAGAGCCGCGGGAGTTTGTGTGGGGCGGCGGCGCCGAGAGGCCTGTTGGCGTTGTTGACGACGATGATGGGGGGTTTGGGTTTGAGGCGTCGAGGTACGAGGAGCGTGAAGGGCGCGGGGATGCCGACGACGAGTTGACGTTTGTGGCGGGGGGGGAGGAGTCGTCGGAGGGGGAGAGGAGAGAGCTGATATCCATCGTTTCACGGCGGGTTTGACTGGCACGGTTACTATCACTGTCACTGTCACTGTGACCTCACGGGGTTGCGTGTGTGTGTGGAGCGTGATTGTGTGTGATGTGTGTGTGCGTGTGTGTGGATGGTTATGTAGAATGCCTGGAATTGGAAAAAACCCGATCAAGTGGGTTGGTGATGATGTAGTGATTGGTAAGGCCGTCAATCAATCAATCTGTATTGGGGCAGCCTTGTTCCTCTTCTGTATCCTTCTGTGCCTTTACCCTCCTTCTTCTTCTTTATCTCTTCTTATTTCTCTGGGAGAGAGAAATGGATGAAGAGATAGTTATAGAGAAACAAAAAAAAAGATTATCCCGGCAATCAATCAATGAATGAACGTGTGTGGTGGGAAGGAGTGTAGTGGTGGTAGTGGGAGCGGTAGAACGGTAGAAGTGTAGCAGCAGCCAGCAGTGGGTGTCCCAGAGACGGGAGTATGTATGTCCGTCTATCTGTCCGTCTGTCGGTACCTATATCTGATCTGTACCTGTGTGTCTGGCAAGTGTGGATGTCAGAAGGTTGGGCAGAACAGAAAACAGGAACAGGAACAGGCAGGGTTACAATGTCGTGAGGGAAAACAGAAAGAGGTAAAGGAAGAATGAAGGACCGGGCTGGTGGAACGATTGAAGACACAACCACCACGGGCAGCCAACCAATCGCTGCGGACACGAACTGACACACACACACTCGCACCCAACATACACACACACACACACTCACTCACTCACTCACTCACTCACTCACACTCCACATTCACACTCTGCACACACACAATCACACGAACGCACAACTCGCACTCACTCGCTCACTCGTTCACTGGCTGTCACTCACCCAGACTTGAGAGAAGGCCGTCGTGTAGTTATTTAAAGAGAACCCCCAGCGTCAATTCAATTGCTACTCTACAGTAGGCATAGAGGATGAGGAACATGAGGGGACCCCAAGATAGGCAATGGGCGAACCACTCGCTCAATTATCAATCGTATCCCTTCTAGACACACTCTCCCGATTAACGATTACAGATCTTCCAACCCAAGTTCGCACCCCAGGCAGTAGGCTTGTCTCATGAGGTTTCTCTCTTTCCTCTGGCAGGCAATCATATCATATCATATCGCTTTTGTTCCCGACCCATGCAAGCCAAGAATCGAAGCAAAAGCCCCCATCGCAGAATTAAATGGAGAAACAAAAAATTAAATTCCCGTTCTCTCTCTACTCTTTCCCCATAATAATAATAATAAAAATAAACCTCAAGATCCGAAATTAAAAGCCGAGCAGCGCATACGGTACATACATGTAATTGTGCATACGGGAGCTGGGATGGAAGGAAACGCAGAGCCCCGTCCTTTTACATAACGTGCAATTGCCGTCATACATCGTGACCTACAATTACTCGATCCTTCATAATTGCGACCAACAGTCGAGCTAGTGAAAACTCTCCTCATAACCCCCAACCCACAAAGTTAGATATCCACAGAAAGTGGATGTTGTTGCAAACGTCCCACCCCCCCTCCCTATCCAATTGCTCCAATTACGCGTCCCATAGGTACGGGTCTCGCCGTCCGGACCTGTCTGTCTGCTCTGCTCTGTCGCTGTCTGTCGGGATAAGACCTCGTGATGTCTCTCTGTCTGCATTCTTCCCTGACCATCTCTCTCCATTTCCAGTTCCTCTTTACGTCCCGACGGGGGGAGGGGGGGTAGGGAATAATCTGAAAATCTGAACAATCGCCGCCAGTAAACACTTATTTTAAAATTACATTTTGCTCCCACCTGCCCTGCCCGCCCCATATTTGGCCCAACAAAAAAATAAAAAATATCCGCCCCCTAGCTACGTATACAGTAGCGAACCGCAACTTCTGCACACCGCCGGCAAAAAAGATCACCGCTGGGATAAGATAGGATTGGGTGTACATGTACTATGGGGGGGGGGGTGAGGATGGGGATGGGGATGGGGATGGGGATGGGCAGATGGGGGAGCAAACACAAAACTAACAGCTGCCCGGAGAAATCACCAGAATCGGTTGCGCGGCGTTCGGTACCTGAATGCTGACTCGGTCGGAGGAGGGGGGGGGGGCCAGCACGGATTATAATTTTAGAGGGGGGTGCTGATCGGCGGTCACATTTTTTTTATTTCTGGACGGGAAGGGGATGGGATGGGGATGTGGGAATTGATTGATTGATTGACTGATACTGTTTAAGTTGACTGAAGTCTGACTGACTGACGGATTGACTGACGGCTTTGCCCCACTGCCGTCCCTAACGTCGTTAACTCTATCCCCATAGCCCAACCCACCTGCTCTCCAACATACATGTAGCTAAGCAATCACACCTTATCTCAACCTCACCCATAGTTATCTCTCCATCTCTCTACCTCCCCATCTCCTCACTACCCACCTACACCCTCACTCACCTCACTCCCCATGTCTCACCCAAATTACCCACCCCCAAACCCGAGCCCACCCCACCCACCGCACTGCCCGGAGCCGAATCCCACCGACCAGGTCTCCGGTCCGCAAAAGCGCAACCTCCGATCCCACTCCCTCTCACCGCACCCCCATCGCCGTCCACTCTACATGTGTATGTACCCCCCCGGACCGGGAAGCCCCACTCCGCTCTCTAATGTCATGTCGGGGGTGGTGACAGGGGTGGGGGTTATTTGTTTTACGTCCGTGCTTAGGATGCATGGTGGATGCTTTTGGGTGGGTGTTATTGTTAGCTGTTTTTAACAGGTTTGCTGCAATGGGGTTCTCTCCGGGAGTTAGAGGAGTGGTGAGTGGAGCGGTGTAGTAGCAGTATAGTAGTAGGAGTGGTGGTAGCAGTGCAGTGCAGTAGCAGTAGGAAGAGCTCTATGTGGTTACTATTTGCTACTAACATATAGCCGGTAGTCGGCTGTAGTACTAATTCAAGCGCTAAGTCGCAACACCGAGTGACATCCCATGAGGATCACACAGCTGCACCCACCGCAACCACAACCACATCATATCACAACCACCCACCACCCACCACCACCGGCCGATACGACACGATACGCGGATACGCCGAACTCCCGGCCCCCGATTCGATCCACAATCTCATCCCCATCACCATCTACCCAAACCCCCGGGACCTCCGCAATCAATCAATCGAGGAGGGATCGAATCGAGAAGCCCAAAGCCGTGGTGAAATGGGGTGAATGATCATGAATAAAATGATCAATCATATGAGCTCAAGCCAGTTTTCACCATGAGCCAATTTACCAACGTACAAGTCTAACCGGACCATCTCAGAATACCCGCATCCTCAAAAAATACCCAAAGCTTACATGAAACAACACCAAAAGAAAATCCAGCTGGCAGAAAAGCACCTACGCACGTACGTGCGACAACTATTAAGAAAACCTCTATAATCAACTGCAACCGCAACCGCAACCGGGAGTTCCCGGTTGAATGGGCTTATGTACTAAGCTACATAAGAAACATTGACAAGGGAAAAGTAATTACCTAGGAGGAACCTATCTAGCTAGCCAGCTTCTATGGATCGGACTTATGAAAAGGACTCGAAGACAAGGCAAGAAAAGAAAAGAAAGGAAAAAAAAATCCACACCAGCCGCTTCCCCAAGAGAAAAGAAAAGAAAGAAAGAGCCAGAAAAACACCCCAACAATTGCAACCCCACCTAACTTCATACCTCACCAGTCTCCGATAGCAAAATAAAATAAAAACAAAAAAACTCCACTATCAGGCACTATCAGGAACTATCAGCCCCCCCCCCCCCCCCAATCCTCATGATCAAACCCTAGCTCTCACTCTCCATAGCCACCAACCCCCTATCCCCCACCCCCAACCTCTCCACATCAACGACAACCTCCACCCCATCCCTCCTCCTAATCCTCACCGCCGCGCCGTCATCCTCACTCCCCAGAAACAGCGCCACAGTCCTCCACTCCCCTGTCACGTCTGTCCAGGTCCGCCAGCTCGCCAGATCAGTAGTATCGTAGGCGGCATCGCCGGCGTCGGCTTCGGGGTCGCGGCTGGACGAGTCTGAGACGGCGCCGACGTTGCCAACGGACTCGGCGGCGAAGGCGGCGTCGAGAACTGGGAGAAGCGTCCGCATGTACTGGAGGTTGTGGTAGGGTATGTTAGTGGGGTGCACATGAGGTAGGAGGTAGGGAATGGGGGGAGGGGGCTTACTCGGCCGTCGTGGGGGGAAAAGGTGGGTTTAGATTCGGGTTTGGGCTCGGAGTCGGATTCTGATTCGGGCTCGGAGTCGGAGGGCTTTTCGAGTAGCTCTATTGGCCAGGGGGTTTTCTCGTAGGTGGTTGTGTTGATAGTCATTATGTAGTGGGGGATTTGTTTGTTTTTGTTTCTTTGTTGTTTGTAGGTTATATATCGAGCTGTGTATTGTATGTAGCTTTAGCTAGTAGGTAGGTAGGTAGGTAGGTAAGTAGGTAGCTGATACTCGGTAAATAAGTAGTACTTGAGTGTATTGTTTTGTTCAGTAGAGATGTAGGTATGGTATGAAGACCCTGTATTGAAGATATAGAAATGCGAAGCTAGGCAAGTGAGGAGGGAAGCTCGATCGAGGCAAGTGATTTTGATTTATGGTCATTCTCCGAAGCTAAAAGCCAGAGAGCCCGTGGGTACTTAAATACAGACAGATGGATGGATCATGCGCAGTGTCCCTGAAATTTTATATCACTTGCCTCCCCACCGAAAATCGTACGTCAATTACATGTGGAAACAAGGCTGGTTGATACTGCCTGTCTGTACGACGTTCGATAAGGATAAAGGTCATGCACGTCGCAACGGCTCACTGGGTTTTGTTTGGATGGCAACGGCGAATCACAGGGGATCTACAACTTTAGTACTTGGGAGTGGCGAACTACATCATGTTACTGGACCACGATAATGACGTCTCCACAAAGTTGTGGATACCCTTTATACTTACAGTGGGTAGATAGATCATAAATGGCTATCAAACCCCGAATCGAATGCGCTCTCCTTAATTACCTTTAGCAGCTGGAGACAACAACGAGAAGGAAAAAAGCCACTCGACTGCTCAGCCGCCGCCTCGCAAAAAAAAAATACGGACAAATAACTTTATTGAGAACGCCAAACACACCGAGCGAGGGAATATTCGCACTCCACATATTCTAATTCACCAATAGATATTGCAATTTGCCGAAACCTCTTGCCTCAACCCACCTTACTACAGTTAAGAGTCAGTGGAAATATCCGCGTTGAATTCTTCAACCAGAAAGCGTTTAGTGAAATCGACGATCTGTTTATAGTTTTTCTCGAAACCGGACTGGCCGCCGTAGTAAGGGTCCTCCACCTGTTCGTCCTTGCGGGAGCCATAGTGCCCGAAGAGCCTCACTATTTAAATAGTCAGCAACAAGCCTTGATGCTTAGCAAAGTAAAAGAACAATTTTAGAATCGAACCTTTAGCGGTGCTATCCTTAGGCTTAACGCGATTAATATCACGAATATTAGAGTTCTAGAGAAGACCAGTTTAGCGATCTAGGTATGTAGCTCAGTAGTTTTCAAAGAGGTTTGTGGCTTACATCCATAGCAAGGATGTAATCAAAATTCTTAAAATCGCTCGTCTGTAGCTGACGAGCAAGATGGTCCAAGCGAATGGAGTTCTTCGCGAGGATCTGAAGAGTTCCTAAGTAGAGCATTTAATTCATCAGTATCAAAGATACACACGAGGACAATATGCTAGGAAGGCCATTACGAGGGTCCGCGTGTTCCCCAGAATGATAAGCTGCAGTCCCACAGCTGTCAATCTTGCGGAATTTTGCGGCGTAACCAGCATTGTTGACTGTTCTACGGAAAGCACCTTCGGCCATAGGAGAGCCTACATAGAGTTTTAGATTGTAAACTTGCTCGGGCCGATAGTGGGGGCTTGAGTCTTACGGCAGATGTTTCCGAGACATACGAATAGGACCGAGACAGCATCGGGGTCGGCACTGTCGGCCATATCAATGTCGGCGTACGGAGATGTAGGTCTGGTCGGATCTGGAGACATGATTGGTGGGTTACGATGTATGATTCTAAAGCTTGTGTAAATGGAAGGAATACTGGAAGGGCAACAAATAGGCGGGGCTTAAAGGATGGAGTTCAGGGTTTAAGTGGGGGTGACGCGGGGTATTTCGTCCTTCTAGAAACGTGGGCTTTTACGTGTGGCGCTAGACATGATAACGAGACTGGTCCTGATTTATTGGCAAGTGTCCTCTACGAGTCTCTAGAGTATATCTTGCTGTTTGTTTTATTTGGCCGTTATCATCACAGTAACTTTACCCTCACATTTGATTGAGTTTTCTCAACACCTGTAGTTTTACCACTTGAAGGTCCAGCATCCAGCATTACCTACATATACGAGTGAGAGCTTGTGTTGCTCTTCCTCAGTCCTCTAACCCGAGAGGGTGGATTAACCTACAAACCTCCACTCTTGGCTTAGGTAGCGGACCCTGATTGGCAGGTTGACTATACCCATTTTAATAAACCAAACCAAGAGCGGTTCTCCTACTATTTGACATAAGCAGCTCCAAAAGTTTGACACTGATTGAATGTATGTATTTAACCGCCAGCCCTCAGTAATCGATTGATAGTCATTTTTATGAAATGATCCAGGATACGCGCTCGCAGACAAGTGCAGACCGAATAGAAATGCATATTTTCTAGCAGGCACCCTGGGTTGAATTAAGAGTCTAAGGCTCACTTCTGGATGCATAAAATATAGCTCTGGTTGGTGCTTGGGTTGCTGAATTTCTCATCCATGGCTCACTGCAGAAAAATAAGCTTAGCCAAGTAGCAAGAGGGAGGGCGAGCCAAACATCGTCCAGTTGATTAAGATATCCAATGCGCAGCTGGCACAGGCCTACAATATATCGATTGGTAACGGTAAGCTCATCTCCTCAACTTTTTGGGGGGGGGGGGGGGGGGGGGGAGCGTTTGCTACTTTGTACCTACGGACTGTAGCCTTTGTGTGCAGGCGATCTATGAATAATCTATATGCTTTAATGCCACCAAGAATAACTCAGCCCAGGGCTGGATAGCACTTCCTATCACACATCTGTATCTGTGCTTTGTTATCAATGGAGCACATAAAGTTCCCGGGCTCTATGGTTGCAAGAACACGTTGACCCCAAGCTTTCTTATCCTTTGTGTACATTTACGTATAGCCACCACTACCCGGGCTGGCTGACTGGTTGACAGGGAGCGGTTTCCCGGTACGTACAGAAAGTGTCTCCAACTGTGATCATAGTCCCGAAAAAGGTCGTAAAATGTACACGCTTACCAGCATAAGAACCAGAAAATGCAGTTGCTCAGGGCAAGGATAATTTGTATGGAGTGGCGCCGTTCTCTCATACAAATAATCCCTGTTTCCGTTACTTTCATTTTCTGGTTCTATTGCTGGTAAGCGTGTACATTAATGTGCCACATTTTCCTCTCTCCTACCGGCGGCACAATTTCTCAACTTAGGGCTGAGTTGGGTGTGGTCTAACCTTATCCGAATCCAGCTGTGTGATGTTGATTGTTGATGGGGCCACAAAGCGGGTGGTGTAGTTGGTTACACATATATGTGGAACCCCAGAACATGTACTCGTCTATTCATAGCGTTTCCGAACACGACCAATATTGCATGACATACAAAAAGGTGGATTTGGCGCTTTTTTATATGGTATGCAATAGCAGTCGTGTCCGGAAACGTCATGAATTTACGAGTAAGAGAACGAGAAGATAAATTACATCCAGCAGGATATGCCTGCTCGCAGAGGCATGCTGCGGTACCTAGATACTCTAGCAGTCGGTACGAGTACCTAGGTATGTATGTAGCTGTAAGTGCCTACATTGAGAACACTGCCTTGCACTATTCAAAGAACCCCCATTGTTATCTATTTCCGGAAGCATCGAGAGGCTTGTTTTGTGCACCATGGTAGGCCAAGGCGCTGCACTTCAACTTCTTCCCCTCACTCAAAACGGTCCCAGTGATCAGCCGCACGTGCGGCTGGAAGTTCTCGCCAAGACGGCAATAGAAATACCAGCTCTTTTCCAACAACCTTCATGGTAATACCTGTCTGCTACTCAACTTCGAATCAAGCTGGAGTAGAATTCGAGCAAGCCTCTCTTAAAGACTTCTCTTCGTTCCTACTCGTCTCATCTTTTACGTCTTCTTCTACCTGGCTTCTGACTTCCAGTTCGCCAGTTGCAGCTAGCTTGTTTGCGCTTCCTTGCTCAAACACGCAGAGTCGATCAAGCAGAAACTGAGGTTTCAGGTAACTTTAATTTTAGCCAGGCCCGCGTCTAGAGAAACAATCCGTGTTTGGAGAATACTGGTAGACTTCAACAAGAAGAAGAAGAAGAAGAAGAAGTAGCAGCAGAGATAGAAGGAAGAACAGAAGGGGTGTTGCTTGCAGGCTACTTGAGGTATGTATATTTTTTTTTGTCTCGTATCTTTTCTTCTATTTAGCCCTGGGTGTAAGCCTTGTCGCGCAGGCGTCGTCACCCGTCGTCGTGGACTTTCTGCGATATGTCATTGCCCAGAGAATTCCATAAACTCCGAACAAAGAAGAAGGCGGACTTGACGAAGAATGGTGATAGAATGAATACATTTGCTAAGATATAATCGTAAATAGTGAACATCTTCGGCATCGGCACCGTAGCTTTTATATCTTTTATTTTATTTTTTATTGGCCTATAGGGCCTGCCTCATTACACCTTGCATACCTGAAATCGCCAGGATCAGGGGAACAGTTCGAAATACTATCCAGTTAGTAAACAGCAGCTCGCATCACCGTTACTATTGCTACACCACCCTGCCTAGAAACAGAAATAAAGGGCCTGAAAAGTAAATACCAATCGAAAAGAAACATAAGCTCATTTTACGTGCCCCAAGACATTAGAGTCGCAATCAATTTACCTATCGCGTGTAATTTTAACATAGGGTTGGCAAGACGCAAGCGCAACAACCCCCCACCTCCCCTCGCAGATCCCTTTTTTCGCAGTCGCAGACCTACATAGAAAGCTCGCCGCCGCGCCCATTCCCATGGCTAATAACAGTAATGACTTTTACTCGCGTCTTGACTTCCCCCATCCTCCCGCGCACGAGGATTCTTCAGACGACGAAACCGGTCCCCTTGCTCAACCTCCAGTACCACAACATCAGCAACCCTACGATCCTCATTATCAACCTCCTGTACCGATGGATCATAGAACTCCATCACCGGCTCATCCACTTGCTGGTTATCAGCAAGGTGGTGAGATGCCGTATAGACCTCAAAGGCAGAACACGGGAGGGTATCCTGCTGCAGGAACTTCTATGCCGGATT